TGTACAAAATAAAACATACAACCTGGAAGAAGCCATCGTCTAGAGTACCTTAAACATTTTTCCAAGTTACGAAATCGTATGTTACGTGTTATCCCGAAGTAAGCCTCGACCAACTACAAATGTCATGCTATGGACATTGATGAAATAAACACCTTTAACAAAATTTAAAGCCGATGCATTTGACGATCAGTTCATATTGATACTCCGGAAACATGGAATAGTTGCATCCGATGAGGAACTGTCACAGTATCATTTTCTTTGGTAAAGAAAGAAATGGTGCTATTCAAAAAGTTTCAGTCTATTTTCAAGTTATTAGTTCCTCTACTGGTGTTTTCATCTCTTTTGAATCATACAGATCACTCCAAAGAGTCTACCACCTTTATCAATAAGTCGAGAGAGTAAACTCACAGAATTACTTCGTTTTGTTAGGTCAGAAGAAAAGAATGACAGGAAATTTGACTATTTTTTAGATAAATTGTTCTGTAGAACTTCCCAAGAAATGGGCGACTGTACAATGTTGTTGGTGTATGTTTCGAGTGGCAAATGTGTTGTTTTCTTATCACATATATGTATGTGTATATCTGCTATGTTTCATGCGATAGTATTGTTGGAATTTTTCACTATCTTCCAACAACTGCGGAAACAAGGGTTGGATAACAATATTTTTGTTGAATACAATTCCTTGCTTGCTTTAAAAATAAAGGAAACCAACATATGATTTATCGACATAGAATTTACAACATACACCAAAAATATAAAGACGACAAATGTGCATGTTTACCAGCAATTCATCAAATTAAGTAATGTACGAAAACAAGAGTTTATTCGGTACCTCACGACACTGAAAATATTTACATCTTTTATTAAATGTACAATTTCAGAGTTATATTGTCCTATTTTACCGATATGTGAATACAAGTTTTACAGTAGCATAGCAACAAATGTGAGGTGGCACAGTGAAATCAGGCGCTCTCCAAAATAATGAAATCTAAGAAACCGTCTTTTTTCACTGGTTCAGCAATTGTTATTGAATTTTTGTTTTATGGCTCAACATCTTTTACGTTTATTTGCTTTTCGAACAACGATATTTCTGTCTGAACTTAACTGACAAACGTTGATCACAACAAATGAACATTTTCAGTTTCAAAGAACTCTTAAGCTATGTAGGTAAATAAACCTGAGCGGTCATTTTCTAAGCAACCTTACTTCTGAAATCACGCGACCCCTTCGATCGCGAACATCTCGACTTCTCTTGAGATTGATGGGTATTTTTAAAAAATCCAAAGCGACAAAAATGAACTGCTTTTTAAGATGATACCAATTACTGTACATGCAGAAAGAAATGACGATCGCCTGATTCCACCACGTCGTGACATTGAACGATATTTGCTGTCGGTTATGTAACATCTGGGACATCCTACCTGTAGCCGTGCCATGTTCTTAAGGGTGCAGCTACCTATTACTTCTGTTTCTCCGTTTGTATTTAGCAAAACCATCTGGTCAAATTTAGTAGAACTCTCAGAAGAATAATCAACACGTAAACAAAGGAGGGAGCAATGTTTCTTCACTACTCGATGATTTTGTACGATTGTTACGTTACAAAGGACTTATGACTTTCCCATTAATCAGTCTTTGATTTGTCCCGAAAGTTGACATCGATTTTATTGCGTTGGGGCATTCATGTGTAAATCCAGCTTTCCGGCAGTCTATTTTTAAAATTTATTTTGGTTTTTTTTTTTTGGGGGGGAGACCAAGGATCTTAGAATAAACCTCCTTGGGGGAGACAAATAGACATTAATTGTTTTTGGAGAGATCATAAGCAGAGTTTAAAAAAGGAGAGTGACCTTTTGCGTCTTCGCAGACGATTTTGAAACTAAAATCCTTTTAAATTACACATTTTTAATTTCTATATTGGATTAAAGTGAAAAATCATATGGACATATCATAAGGACTTTTCATTCTAAGTAATTTGATACTAAATTTACCGAATGTTAATTTTTTATATTTTTGAAGTGTACATCGCGAAATATGAAAACCACGAGTTCAGAGACAGCTCACAAATAAACCACTTTGCTACAAAAAATTCTTCAGCCAAGAGTCACTGGTGCATATACTAAGCTCATTTTTTAAAGATAAAGTAAAGAAAATCTTTTTTGTAAGAAATTAAAAGTAATTAGAACAAACATCAATGTATGCATCCCCCAAGCATATGACAATATTTCAATTTGCACAAAAAAGCACTTTTCATTTAAAGATATACATCATAATATACACCAAATTAAAGAGAAAACTAAGCTCTTTTATACAAAATCTAGAAGACAAGACTAAACATTAAAGCATTCATCTCTATAATCTTCAAAAATAACTACCATTTTATTGTAACAATAAAAGTGGACACGGTATTACAATCTTAACACATTTTTAGAGATGCACTATTTAGAGGTGCCTAATAGCATTCGTATACTTTTTATATGCAGGGCAGGATAATTGCCAAAAGACAATATTCTTATTTACTATTATTTAGAAAAGACGATTCAGTGACAAACTTCCACCCCTGTAATTAATACTTATTTTGTATCTGTTCATTTATCTGATGTTTTAATATTAAAGATTTAGGACGAGCATGTTTAAACATAATATAACATTTTTAAAGTTTACTGGTACGGGAAGCGAGATACAAGCTTATTAATTCTCCTCATTTTTGCTGCGAAAACCTGCCGAGCGCCTTTTTCGCCCAGTATTGCATATCTATAATTTTAAGAAACTATTTATTTCGACGTTACGCCTTCCTACTTAAGAGCATTTCACTCTTTGACGAATCGCTTTTTTCTTCGATTTTACAAGTCAGTAAATAAGTAAGTCAGTTAATTCAGTGTTTAATACCACTGGCCGACATCACATCACTCAAAACACTCATTTGATAAATAAAGTTTCCATGATGAATAAGTACATGTTGTGACATATCTCTCATCATGAGTCAAACATTGCATATTTCTGACACTGGGCCCAGTCAGGCTAGGAAGGATTAACAATTTAAAGTGAAATTCACCTTCAAGTTCATGAGAGTTACACCTCTCACATATATATACATAAGGGCGAATTAGTTAATTTCCATCGATAGAGATTGTTATTTAATGGAAGGCTATGGGTTTTTAACAAAGCTATGACTCTTCTGCTCCAATACCGTGGGAGGTTGGTGATATATTCAGCTGTTTCTTGAAACGAAATTAAAAGAGAGAAAACATTATACTTTCGACAGACTTCTTCCTCTATGTTCTGCACAGAATGATTAACAAGTCTACTTTTTAACGATTTTAGAAGGCTCTTTGCCGAGGCTAAAAATGTTTTAACTCACTTTCAAACAATAATACTCAGTTAACTGCTCATGGTAACGTCTTTCAGGATCTGACTCACATCTGCATAATAGCATGCAGCATATTTTATATTTAATCCAAAAACATCATTTCGACTATTCGTATTTTCCTTCTCCCTCCGAGACCAAACATTGAAAGCACACTCTATGGAACATTACAGCAACAGCAGCAAACCTGCACTTATCCCTACATGGCATTGGACAGAAGGGCGAGAGCCCAGCTGTTGTTGGATCGATAACAACAACAACAACAACAACAACTTATTCGTAATTCAAATAGGAGAAAGAACTTAGTCATTTAAGATACTAAATACACACTTCAACATAGTTAATAACCACTTGCAAACACTCTGAGTGGTCTTCTTGGGTCGACCTGCACGTAGGCGTTCTTGGGCTGATCCAGTGGCTTGATGGGGCTGCCTCAAGGTGACAATGACAGTGTGGCACTGCAAGCCTTCTTGCAACTTCTTGGGCCCCAACTCCATCCTGCAGCCATGCCATAGCTCTGGCATGATCAATCAAAGTCTCTCAGCTTTCGTTTCGGTGGCATATTGATGCGATACCGGATTTTGCGCAAACGGCGGCTTATATTACCTCCAGAGTGAGCACAGTTCGAGACCATACGTCCTTTTATGACGTGCACCAGAAAATTTAACTGAGGAATGTCCGTAGTGTTGGACATAGGTCAATAAAAAACAGCAAATTTTGCTAAACTTCCCAGAGGATTTCCGTGCTGCACGTGATGGTTTTGTCACTGTAGAAAGCTTTGCAGAAGGCACTGATAACCCATTAACACTTTCAGAGCAAAAAGTGTTGGAACATTCCTTTATGTCTCTTTTTCGGACTTTTTGAAAATCAGGCTGTCTGTCAAGGTGGTTCTTAACGTATGTTGAAGTCAGTATATTAAGTAATAAGTGGCGTTCAGTTCTTTAATTCAAAGACAAATTAAAACATTTTTAGAGGCACATGTTAGAATGAATTAGGGGCGTCTAAGTCTATGAAAAATAATAACAACATGAAGTTTGCATTCGAATATAGACAACATAAATATGTTGGTGAGTGGATATTTTAAAGCGATAATAGTAGTAGTAAAAGAATAATACCAACAATAACAACAATGAAGAAGACAAAAACAACAACAATAATGATAATAATAATAATCATAATAATAATAATAATAATTATTATTATTATTATTATTATTATTATTATAACATCATTTCAATGAAAACATTTTTGACCTGAAAACAAAAGAAAATGAGATATAATATTATGGTTCTCGTCAATGTGAAGGTCAGTCGCTGTGGTGCAGTTGCTTTTGAAAGTTGCCAAAACGGGAATGATAGAGACACGAGAGTCTAAGTGGATACTAGATCAGTTCTTTAGCAGTCTTGTTAGTAGCAAATGGCATCTCATTCTAGTGTGTTGACATAAGGTTGAAGAAGTTTTGTCTGGTTTCGGAATGAGTTGATTTATAACAAAAAATTGATGTGTACCCCCCCC